CCATCCATCCATCCATCCATCCATCCATCATCCACCCACTCATCCATCCATCCATCCATCCATCCATCCATCCATCCATCCATCATCCACCCACTCATCTATCCATCCATCCATCCACTCCACAAACATCCAATGAGCACCTCTCACAGGCCTGGCTTGGACTGGGGAGGTGGCAGTGGTGCTGCTGACAGGGTTAGGAGGTAGGATTGATGAGGAATGGATGTGGGGATGGGGGCGAGGGAGAAGTAAGGTGGCAACGGGTGTTGGCTGCGAGTCATGGAGGCGGAGCATGGGAGCAGGAAGAACAGGACATGGTGCCCTTGGGATTTGCAGGGCAGGTGTTCAGTGCCCCGGGGGTGGGAGGGAGATAAATGCACCTGGAGGACGAGGAGCCTCTCTGGGGACTTGCATTTAAGGGTCATAACCAAAGCCAGGGGGCTGGGAGAGACCTCCCAGAAGGGCTTGCAGAGGGCAGGAGCAGCAGCCTGGGGTGGACCATGATGGGGTCAGTGTTGTCATGAGCCTCTCCTGTCAGCCGCCTCACCTGTAACCTGCCACCCCCACCCCCAAAGGGTTCCCCTCCACCAAGGCCTCCCAGGTGCCTTGGGTCCCCATCCGTTGTCCACACGGAGAAGCTGCTGGGCTCGAGGCCCCGGGTTGCTGCTCCCGGGCAGGAGTCGCCGCCCCCCGGCAGTGTCGTGGCAGCTCCAGGGACCTGAAGCTCCGCTGCCCAGCTGCCGCCCAGCCTCGCGCGGCTCTTGTGGACGGGCTCGGATCTGTCTAGGGTTCGCACCTGTGGTGAAGGGGGGTCCCCTGCCTCAGCTCTCGGTGGTTCAGCCCCGGGTTCATGCACATTTCCATCTTTCCCCAGGTGTCCCCATGGCATGAGGGGGCGACACAGGATAGGGCCCCCGATAACCCTCTCATTGTCCCTGGCAGCCCGGTGGACAGACCCGGGCAGCTGCCTCCCCTCCCTGCCCCTCTGCCCTTACGGTAGGTTCACTCCCACGAGCCCCACCCCCAGCCGTGCTTTCCTGCAGTTCGGCTTCCATTTGAACTTTCACGGGGACCAAATTCCCAGGCCCTTTCTTCCAGGAGAAACTAGCGCCTGAATATACTTGTGGAGGAGACACGCTCTGTGGACAAGAGTTTCAACCTGGTGCTCTCCCCTGATGCCACCCATGGCTCCCAGCTGGGCCCGCACCTGCCTGGCCAGCTCAGGTCTTGTCACGGGAGGCCTTAGACTCCAGGGGACCCTCCCATTGAAGGCTTGGGCCGTGATGACCTCTGAGATGCAGGAACCAGGTCCTGCTGTTGGGAAGCTCGCAGTGTACTCGGGGAGGCTCCTCTGAACCCAAAGAAGCCGACCCCTTCTTTCCAGTGTCACGTGCTCGGGGCCCAGGGGGCGGCAGACAGGGTCAGGCTTGGGGGCCCCTGAGGAAGAGCAAACCCAGTGTACAGGGGAGATCAGGGAGAGCTTCCTGCAGGAAGGAGCCTGGCTGGGCCCTGAAGGACAGGAAATGATTTCCCACTTAAATAAAACCCCACTTTTTATTTTGAAATAATTAAGATTTACGGATGAGCTGTAGAGGCACGGAGCTCCTCGATGCCTTTCCCCCAGTTCCCCCGGTGTTGGCATCTTCTGTGAGCCCCGAAAGTTTATTGGCTCGGACACTGACACGGCCCCGCCCGGGAGCGCAGGCCTCACCTGGGTCTCGCGGTTTTGGATGAACGTCCTTCTGTTCGGGGACGCGCCCCGGCTCCGCGGCCTCCTGCCGCCTGGACCATCTCTCCGTCTTCCCTCGACATTCGCGACCGTCACAGGTCCGAAGAAGCTGGCTGAGCACCTCGTAGCTAGTCCCGCGGTTGGGTGCCGGGTACTTTCTGGCGATCAGCGTGGGGTGAGGGATTATGAGCAGCATAGATCCATCCCCAGAAAAATTCCCTAGTTTTCGCCCCTTTTGAATCACATTTTTCCAAAATGGCTTTTGCAGGCTCACCAGCAAATTCCCACAGTCGGGCTGCACCCTGGTCGGGATTTAGTGTTGTCCATTTATAAAACTTTAGCCATTTGAGCAGGCGTGTGCTGTGTCTCTGGGGTTTTAATTTCCATTTCCCTGAAGGCTCGCGATGCTGGGCATCCTTCTCGGTGTTTATCTGCCACTCACCCATCTTTCTTTGTCAAGTGTCTGTTCAGATCTTTTGAGTTTTAGAAGGCTCTGAATGCTCTGGATACAAGTCCTTAGATTTGCAAATAATTTCTTCCAGCCTGTGGGTTGTCTTTTCTTTTTTTAATTTTTGTTTTGTTGATCCCCACCACCCTCGGGTACCTTTTCCATTGATTTTTTGAGAGAGAGGAAGGGGAGGGGGGAGAGAAACCTGGATGTGAGAGACACGTCCACTGGTGGCCTCCCGCACGCGCCCCTACCTAGGCCGGGATCGAGCCTGCGACCGGGGTACGGGCCTTGGCCGGGAATCAAATCCGCTCCAACCACGCCGGCCAGGGCTCTGCTTATTTCTGAAGGATATTTGGGTAATTATAGAACTTTTCCCACTTTTTTCCCTTCGCCTTTCAGCTTGTGTACGTGTTTTCTTCAGGCTCATGCATCCTCCCCTTGATAGTGTTGAGTCTCCTGTTGTGCCTGTTGAAGGCCATCTGTGTCCCTATTGTTCAGGTTTTCGTTTTCACCTCTGCACTGGGGTACGGGGCTCAGGAAGGAGGGGGGATGGCAGTGCCACCTGGGAGCACGGTGCTGCCTTCGGTGATGGCCCAGACCTGGCAGCCTGGCTCTGACCGTGAGGGCGCTGGAGGCCACCCTCCTCACCCTCCTCCAGAAATCCTGTCCTGGGGCCTGACTCCAGGCTTCCGGCTTAGGGCTGGGGCTCTTTGGGCTCCCCGGATGGAGGGCTCCCCCAACCAGAGTCCTGACCTCCTCTCTTTCGAGTGCCTGTGACCTACGGTCCTGGGCGCTCTAGGGAGCCGGCCTGTGTTTGGCTGCTGGGCCAGGCTCAGATGTGCTGGCTGGGTGCTCCCGGGAGGGAAGCAGGGCAGGATCATTTTTGCAAAACCAGAAACAGGCTCAGTCCAGAGAGGTAAGTTGCACAGGGGCCAAGGGAATTCATCCCTAAGAAAGAAGAGCTGCTGGGGCTGAGGGTGTCCCCACAACGTGGCCCTGCCAGAGCCCCCTCAGCCTCATCCTGATGTCCCCCTTGCCAGGCTGGGGGTGTCCAGCTGAGAGACAGAAAGCAAGGGGCTGCCTCCTCTCCCCCCCTCGCAGGCCACCCACCGTGGCCACACATCCCTCTCTGCACTGGCCTCGGTGTCTCCACCTTGCCAAGTGGCGTGGCCGGCGGGACAGGGGGCTGGCCCGGCCACAGGGCCCGGTGCCCTCAGGACAGTGAGCTCCGACTCCTGCTTCCGGAGGACTCATCGGCAGCACAGGAAAGGGGAGAAGCCGCCAGGCCATTGCCCAACCCCGGACCCGCCCTCCTGGTGCTCGGGGTGCTGGGGCCGCTGCTGTGCCCCCGAGAAAGAAGCAAAGTCCACTCGGGCCACGTGGTGCTCACGAGTTTATTTTGGCATCACCTCGGCGAGGTCCTTGGCCCTGGAGGAGCAAATCACAATGGCAGTGAGGGCAGACACCCGGGGGGGTGGCTTACAGAGAAAAACCAGTTGCAATGGAGCTCCCGGGCCTGGGGGTCGGAGGGTCAGCTGGAGCCATCGCTGCCCTGCGGGGGCCTGTCCCTGCAGCAGAGGCGAGTGTCCCAGGGAGGTGGGCTCCCCTTGGCTGGAAGTGGAGGTCGCAGCCTCCCGTGAGCCCACCATCCGGGTCTGGAGACAAAGGGGACCCAGCAAAACATTGTCGTGGAAACAGAGGGCCTGTGAGGGGCGTGGCTCCCCTTCCCACACCTCCTGTCTCCTCACAGAACTGCACTCACCTAAGGCTGAGGCCTCTTTGGCCACCCAGGGGTGCGGA